GAGGACCCCACTATTTTCATTCACAATCTCGGAGGAAAAAGCTTCAGTGTATTGTCGCCACAAGCAACATGTGATCACTCATCCCTTTGAAGATGAGCCACTGAAGCACCATGGTGCTCTCAGGTCACATAATGTGTAAACAACTTCGATCTTTTACGCTTTTTGAAGTTCTTTATCTTCATGAAGACGAGAAGCAAAAAGAGTGGCCTGTAATTCTAACTTCGCAATGAACACTGCGTTCATAGGCGCAAAAAAGGTCTTGCCGAAAACATAAAAAAACTTGGTCTTCTTAGTGTCTAAAACCCGAGCTCGAAGAAACGCAAAAGCGCAGAACAACTACTTGGAGGATTCACCAAACATGTATACCTTGATGTTTTCGACGGGAACATCTAAATAACTCCGCGGGATGGCGTTTTGGCAGAGCTGTTATTTTGGCATGCAATTCGAGAAAGCGTGTCTTAAGATTTTCAGGTAATGGGTCGTCTCACTGTCCAGTGACCAAACGCAGTGTCCTTCAGAAACAAACCCGCTCTCCCAGCCCAGTGTCTGGAGTTTGAACAATTTGAGATATTTCGTGCTATTAAAGCGTAAGCGGAGATTTAATACGTTTTTGATATCGCTCGTTCCAATATGAACTGAAGTTTGCTTCTTGATTTTGTTTATTACTTTGCCTTAACCAAAATTATCACACTATTTTTAAATAGCGTGTGGGTGGTTGGCGAAAAACTCAAAGAAAATTAAAATTCTTTCATTGTTTTTTAAAATGAACTCTTATTCTATGGAGCTTAAGAGGCAGTCGAAACCTTCAGAGCTTCCTGATACGAGCAGTCTTCTTTTATTTGTTCAACATTAATAAAAGACTAATTCGACAGTTCATGATAATTAATTACTGTTCTATTTATGACATTTTTTGTTCTTTTTAAATCGTTCGCAAAAAATTTATATTGGACAAAGAACATTTTACTAGTAAAACATCTCTTGATTCAAGTCTAGTTCACTAAATCACATTTTATTCCATCATGGTGTTTTAACGCCGTACTGAAGTGTTGTTGATGTGATGTGACTTATTTTCTGTATTTTCATGAATAGACTGTAGGAAGCTTTGCATTGTCATTTCACCAGTTAAAACAGCAGGCAGTTAATAATCGTGTAATTGATTTTTTCTGGTCAACGGTTTTGTCTAAACTTTGAGATGCCGACGAAAAGAGCACCTTCTTTTCACATGCTCCATTTCTCAAAACAAAATTACCATCTGTTTCGTATTATTTTTGTAATGCGCCGTGCTTTTTTCATACTTCCCGTTTTAAATTGATTATATAGAAACTTGTCTGCGGTTTAGGTCTTTAAAGTGGTTTGAGAGAGCTCAGAAAATCAATTTGGCCGACCTAAAAAAGAGTCGACAAAATCTTCAAAATTTTTTGAAAATTCGCCCCTCGGAAAATTCCTATATATGTGCCTGGTTGATATAAACTGTTTAAAGAAGCTGCAAATGTGCAGTAGAATCCTGTTTTATTGGCTACACTGGGACTTCGTTATTTTTGAAATGTACATTTTCAATCTATAACTAAAAATGTTAAAATATTCTGTAATTTTAGCATTTTCTAAGTTAATCTTAATAAAAATGTTTGTCTTGTCGTTCATTTTTACTTTAATTGCTATCAGTTTTTTTTAGATAAATTTTTCAAATAGATTTTTTTTGCTAAGGCGGTGCTCGCAGCTCTAAAAAATCATCAGTTTCATTTCAATTTTTTTTCCGATTTGCTGCTAATTTACATGAAATTGTAATTATCAGAGCTGTTTGAGTGACAATCCGTTTGTGTATAATTGCTCATGCTACTTCGAAATGGCTACTGATGAAGATTTTTGTCTGCATGTTTGTTTTTCCTAAATTAAAGACAATTTTGTTAGTTTGTTTTTCCTAAATTAGAGACAATTTTTTGCTTCTGCATCCAGTATTCTAACCAGTTAATGAGTTTTAAAAAAACTACCAGCTTAGAAAAAATGCTTTTTAGAAGTTTGGATCCTAAATTCACCATAACATTTAAACCATCTGATATCTCGTAGGTTATTAAAGAAATATAAAATGAGCTGATGTGCAAAAATCCAAGCATTTTGTTTGAGCGAAAGTTGCATATCAATAACAAGACTGCTAATATCAAGATCGACCCTTTGAAGAAGCAGAATTTGGTTAAAAAACGGTCTAAATTAAAAAATCTACTCCGAACATATTTATATTCTTCTCATTCTTCGAAAGTCGGAACAAAAATAAATTGAGTATTACAGTAACGAAAGAGACAAGTAATTTTTAAACCAAGAACCTTTTAAAGCAATTTGCATATCATTTCTTAAATGGGTAAGAAAAATTTTTTTGATGCATTGATTGGAAGCCTAAAATTGCAAATTTTGACCCGGTAATATTATATGAATTGTCGAAATCCAACACTAATACAGACCTCAAAACAATTAAAATGCCCAGAAGAATTTTTTGTAAGATAAATAATTCACATTTCAAATAAAAATAAGCCTTAAAAGGAGCGTAGTACAACGAAGTTTAATTTCAAAAATGTCGAAAAGCAAAGAAAAAATCTGGAGCGTAAACTGCACCAGCTATAAAGACATATTTAAAACTTCAGTGAAAAAGAATTTGTCCAGAGGCATCTGCCGGATGCTGCGTCTGCCAGTTAGTCAAAAATTTTGAAACCGATTGTTCTTTTTTAAGATCAATCGATTCAGTTTTCTCAGCCCCTTAAACCGTATTAACGTATAAAGACCCTATTTAGCCAGAAACTTCTGAGCTGTAGTTAAGTTTTGCTACTGATCATTCAATTCGGTCACAATAGTTTTTTGTCTTGTTCACGGAAATCTCATCCTGCCTTCTGAGCTGTAGTTAAGTTTTGCTACTGATCATTCAATTTGGTCAAAATAGTTTTTTGTCTTGTTCACAGAAATCTCATCATGAGAGTTTAAAAAAATGACAAAATAGGGGCCAGAAAATAGGGGTGGTAGGCGCACAATTTTTTTTTAAGTCACTGGAGTCCAGAGACAAGTCTTCAGACTTATTCGAGAATTTAAGTGGTTTTCACTAACAAAATTTCCGTGGATTCCGCTCTGAGATATGTGAAAAGTATTTTTGTCGGCAGATTAGTTTTGTCCCGGATTCCGCCACGAGCGATTATTGCTAGTTATTTCGGGTTCCGAAAGTTTAAGTGGATTATGCATATTGTCAGCGCATTCCACACATGAAAACGGGTTACGCGGATTCGGCTTAGATTTTGCGGATTTTGTTGACTTTTTGCGGATTTCACTTACAACTTGCGGACTCCGTGACAGCGTAGTTTTACTATACATCATATTGTTTTTTCAAACACTGTTTCGGATTCCGCAAACTTTTTTGCGGGTTTTGCAAGCTCCTTTGTTTTTAAAGCGATTTTGAGCAATGCAGGGTTTTATCTATTTGTTCGTAAAGTTCCGTAACAAAAAGGCTTTCGCGGCCTGAACTCCCGAAGCACAAAACTTGGCTCCATAATGTCGAACCAAGAGTCATCTCGGCTTTTTTCTGAAGGTATTCACTGTACCGCTTTTTGCAATCATTCTGTGAACCACCCGCATCCAGTTTCAGTGCTAATAATTGATTATATTACAATTTTAGTACCAGTCTTAATAAAATTGAGAAAAAATCGATTCTGATCAACTAATAATTGATTATAATCTCTCTTTTTAAAATCAAAACATAATTAATTATGATCCATTATAATCGATTATAATCAATTATTTAATCGTCAATTTTTCGATACGATTATAATCAATTATAATTGATCATAATCCATTATTTTTATTCAAATTTCTAATTCAATAGTTTTGCACAAAAATCCATTATAATCGATAATAATTGGATTATAATCCCTTTTGTTTGTCCAATTTGTCTTCTAAATTGCACCTAAATTGCCTATATTTTATGCTTTTTGTAGACGTTGGTTCCAATGAAACATGAGAAAATTTTTTATAAAGTGTTCCAATCAATTCAAATTTATAAGGTTTTTTTTTATTTTTCCCCATCAGAGTTGTTTTGTGATGAATATTTTAAAATTTTTTAAGCCACCAAAACATCAGCAATTTGATTCAGTTCATGATTAATTCGGAAAATTTATTTTTCCTCTACCACGGGAACCTTTCAACTAATATGAAAGGATCTCTATGAAACTTTTTTTTCGTGGTAAAACTTTGTGTTCAGATGAACCAAAATGTTCAAGAGATCAATTGACACAAAAATAAAAACCCATAAGATATACTTCGATGATAATTTTGAATTGACAAAATTTGGCAAAATAAGGGGTCCAATAAATCGATTTTAATTGATTTTAAGAGTTTTTGTAAGATCTATAATCAATTATAATCGATTATAATCTCGTGGAAAATATCACGATTATAATCATTTATAAATCTTCTAAACATCTAATTTTGTTAATTATAATCCGTTATAATCAATTACTTGCGCCTTAACTTGAATGCGGTCACTTTAAGCGTTTCAATCTTTCTCAAAAAAGATTTTTCAGCATTTCTTCTCATTTTTGAAAAAAGATCACTTATCTCTTTTTCACCTCTTGTTTTTGAGTATAAAACACTGCATTGCTCAAAATCGCTCCAAAAACAATGGAGTTTGCGGAACCCGCAAAAAATTTGCGGAATCCGAAGCAGTTTGTGGAATCGCAAAGAAAAAAAAACAATATAGATTTATATTAAAATTACGCTGTCGCGGAATCCGCAAGTTGTAAGCGGAATCCGCAAAAATAAGCGGAATTCGCAAAATGTAAAAATGTAAGCCAAATCTGCGTAACCCGTTTTCATTTGCGGAATGCGCTTACAATTCGCAGAATGCACTTAAATTTGCGGAATCCGAATAACTAGCAAATAAAAGATTTTCCTGCATTTCCTCTCAGTTTTTTTTTAAAAAAGATCACTTCATCTCTTCTTCACCTCTTCTTTGGAGTATTTTTTTTTTCATTTTCATGTTTGCACGGAAATCTCTTAAAATCATTGCAGTTTTTTTTTAAATGAATTATTTTCAAGTGCTTTGGGAATATACAATTTAATGCTATAAATAAATATAGCGCTTTTATGAATTATATTTTACAGAAACTCAGGGACGCCCCTGCAGGAATATGCAATATTATTTGATCATATATAAGCTGACGTGATTACAAAACGATGTTTTTTAATTTCCTTTGTATATTTTTATGTTGGTTTCTATGAAGTTTTCGGTCTATTTTTTAGTTCCCTTGTTCTGGTATCCTTGCACATATCCATCGTTTGCTGCCTTATCCTCTCGACCTGAAAGCACAATTTTGCGCAGGAACTGTTTCGTAATCCTGATTGAAATTATTACTTATCATCAACAAAATAATCAAGGAATAGATATCATGTAAACAAAGAATCGATATAGGTCAAGTCAAATCAATAAAATAATAAATACCAGAAGCGCTCGTTAAAATTAACAACTGATGATATTAAAAATGTCTTCTTCGTTGCTGAGTTTAAGTTGAATTTTCATAAATGAGCCCATGTTCAGTCATTGCTTAATATCATTTTAAAAACACCTTTTTGGTCTACTAAAGTTATCTCAAGTTTCAGCAATAAGAACACTTTCTTCTAGCGGGTTTCGATCCGCAAACCTAACAATTGAGAGGCCGAGGCCTTAGATACTCCAGCGTGCCTTAACTTACCGTCTGCTCCTTTCCCTTTTCCTGACTCATCGAATCTCTCCTTGTGTGCTCCAGTGTACTTGCTGGTATCAGTCAGTCGACCGACCACCTTGTCGTTACTCGCTTTGGCCGAAGTCTTGTTCTTAAACGCCACAAAAAATGCTTTTTTATTTTGCACTAAAACAGATGATACCTTTAGTTGTTGCATTAATTGTATAAAGTTAGCCCGAATTAACAAATCAGATGAAATTGGAACGAAAATTTCAAGCAAAGTACCATGTTTCTGATTTAATTTAATGAGCGCACAACCCGGATACAAATCGGGCTCATTATCTCCAAGTGTTGAATTTCATTTGAGGCAGATAAATGTTAATGTGTGTACAACAAAATTTAGTCCAAAAAATTTACTCTGTTTTTTTTTCTGTTCATACCTTGGGGGAGTTGCTGGTGATTGCGTCTATGATCTTCTTCTGGTTCTCTTCACTATCAGCTCCATACACTGCCTTGGCTAGCTGGGGAACGGCTGCAAAAATGATATAAATGAGAATTTTATAACTATTCTGGCCGAAAAACTTTTTGGCGCCAACATACACTGACTCGCAGGGGACTGGGAGTGAGAATTTGAGGGGATTTGGTCTCTGGGAGAGAAATTGATTTGCTGGTCTATGGTGAACAGAAACATTGTTACGTTTCTGTTATTCTAAGGTTTCGGAACAGTTCAACGCATTGAAACTACTGGCCTAAATATTCTACCAACACACTCTCATTCAAATTTCTGCTTCCGTTGTTCAGCTTAAACATAATACTTCTCGAGAGTTTTTGCAACTGTTGCCCAAAAAACTAAGAATGTCTTCATAGTGCTTAGGGAGTTCACAAAATGCGTTTGATCGACATTATAATTGGACAAAACTTTTGAGGAATAATACCGACGCCGCTCTCACCCTGCGCCTTGAACTTGTCGAATGGGATGTGTCTGGCTGGGTTCTTGCACCTGGTGAAGATCATGTCCATCTCAGCCCCATCTAATTTGCCCTTCTTGAACAGACCACAGTCCTCCGTCATCTTTTTGAAGTTCTTTGAGTCTAGCTCAGTCTTCGTCTTTCCAGTCCCAGCTCCGAACGAGCAGAATTCATTGAACACTGACTGTAGCTAACCACACAGAAGGGGCAAAATTTACCACCCGTAATGAGAGCGAGAGGGACAAATGAAAAAGACCGAAACCAGGGAGGATTTTCTCGGAGTATTTCCGACGTATTCTATTCTAATTTTGGTCACGACCTTGCCATTTAGTAAGGCTGGTCAGTGCTGAGAACTGAACTGATTTCACTTGGGTTTCATTATGCTCTTCTATTTCTGGAGTCTGAGAACAGCCTTATTATTTGCAGTGATTTTAGTTGAAACTTCAAAAAATTGCCCATGAACCATTCACACTGGAAAAACAATCCTCCTGCAGGGAAGAAAAGCATATCTAGCAAAAGTGATCTTTTAAAACTGTTACGGAATCCCCGTCCTGGAAATATTTCCCGAAGAGCGTTAGGAAAATACGCCCAGGAGTTTAGGAAAGATGCATGATTGCCGAACGTGTAAGGTATTGTGATCTTGAAATCAAAGCAAAAATATACTTACATCGGCCATTTTATTGCTTTTCAGTCTGGTGTTTATTTGCAGCTTCGATGGTTTACTTATTTATTTTTCACTTTTTTTCAACTGCTTTTGCAGTTCGATCAATCTGGTCTTGTTTTGTTGTGGTTTGGCTTAAGTTTGCAGCTGCTGATTTCCAATCCGATCGATGAGATTTTGGTATTAAAAATGAATTACTTCTTAAAATGTGAATGAGACTAAGAAATTGTATTCATTTTTATCGCTACAAATCGTGACAACAAACCAAAAACAAAGAAAAACTGCATTTGTTTTAAATTTTATTTTCTACATAAAACCTACGGACAACGTTTTAAACCTGATTGCAGTTTTGGTCTACTAATTTATATGTGAAAAGGGCCGATTTCAAAACCATTAAGTTTGACTAAAGCAGGGCTTTTGGTATTTTTTAAACAAAACGATTTTTGTCACGAAATATCACATCTGTCTTGCGTATTCACGTTATGACGTTAAGAACATTATGACGATCTGCAAATATCATATTTGTAAAATTACTCTTATTCATTGCATCATCTATATCTATATGAGTGTAGTGTAGCATAAAGAGTAAGGCTAGAATTCGATAATTTGAGCAATCAAGCGCATAAACAATGTCTATAAATCATTGTCGATCAAAAATTAACAGTTCCTACACGTTTCTATTCAATAGTCATCTGGGGCCACAAAAAAAACGTCATTTCGAAAATTCGCGCACTATGCGGAATTATGAGGGGGGGTTGGGGGGGGGGGGGCGTTTTGTCTCTTAGGAATCAGGAATTCGACCCCCTGCCGACCTAAAGGGTCCCTCCCTTTGTACTATTTTGAGATATTCATTTTTGGCGACGGACCCAAAGATTTTTCTAAAGGCGCCTTTGGCGCCAATATGTACCAATTTTGAGGAGGGAGCACACTCCGAAAAAACGCGATTTTTTGGTCAAAGTTGTCCAAAACTTGCCTTAAAACGCCTTTTTTGGCCTGTTTTTTCAAAATTTTTGTCTGGGCAGAAAAATTGGTCAAAATGGGGTCATTAAACGGATTGAGGAGAGCTCCGAAAACTCCGACTAAATTTTCGAAATTTTTTGAAAATCCGCCTCTCTCGAGAAAAACCTAGATCCGCCCCTGAATTCACTTCTTCTGTTTTCGATGAGAACAAAAAGTTGATATCTAGAAAGACTTCGATTGAGGATTTTGACTTCTTGAGTGTTTCTCGACAGATTACATGACAAAATAAACATGTCTTGCGGGTTTAATTCAATGTTATTATTATTATTATGATTATTTTTATTATAATAATAATAATTATTATTATGCAATACCCTATACTAAGTTTCAAGGGCGGTTTTAGTACTATTTTACTATTTAACCCCCCTTTTGTATGATTTTGAGATATCAATTTTGGGCTCACTGATCCTATAATTTTGCTAAAGGCGCCTTCGACACCAATATAAAATAATTTTGAGGGAGAGCTCGCGCCCAAAAAAAGCAGTTTTTTTGGTCAAAAATTTTATTGACTTTTTGTTGGCAAACCAAATTGATTTCCCAAGCTGCCCTAAAACTCCATAAAGACCGCATTCTGCCAAAAATTTCTAATTTGTGCTCCACTTGATGAATCTTTTGCTAGAAAAACTAAAGAGAAAAAAAGCAGGTTTCGGAGTTTATACACTGTATTCAAGCCCTTTAAAAATTGATTCGGCAACAAAAAGTTGTATATTTTCGTTAAAGAATAAAGTTTCCGTCTCTCGGTCGATGTTTTGGTGATTTGAGGGCCGTCATGATCCCTACTCGCTGCATGCAGATGTTAGGCAGTATTTTCCAGCCGTAGCAAAATTTTCAAATGAGTCTTCAAAATAAAAAAGCTATATGCTTTCAAGAAATCAAAAATTTTCTAATATTTGTTTTCGCAAATTTTTATCCACCTTGAGTTATCATTTTTTTAACCAATTAAGAAGCTTGAGAAATTTTCAGCTAATGTATATTTTTTCCGCGATTGATGACCAGAATTCAATTTTGGTTAGCTTAAGCAAACTTTTAGCTCAAAAAATTTATAAAGGTTTGAAATTTATAAAGGTATAGCTTTTATGTTTTTGGCTTGAAACAAAAAAAAATGATTTTTTTTTGTATTATTTAGGAGAAGTCTTTTGTTGTATGATTAAAGAACAAGGTTTTTGAGTTTCTAATTTATACAATTTTTTTCTTTTCTGTACTTTTTTTGCTTTTATAACTTTTTGTTCAACCAATCACAAGATTTTTTTGAAGTTATACTGCATAGCTTGTTAGGATCAGTTGAACGACAACCCAATCCCCATACATAATAACTTTGGTTTTATAACTTGCTATTATAACTTTTTGTTCAACCAATCACAAGATTTTTTTGAAATTTTACTTCATAGGTTGTTAGGATCAGTTGAACGACAACTCAATCCTCACACATAATGACCAATTGAGCAATTGAGCTGTAAAAACGGTAAGTCGCTACAGAAGACGTTATCAAAAGCAAACAGATGGTTAATGTTAATAATCTGCTCAAAGAACAAAATCAATTGATCGATTGATTTTTTTTTTTTTTTTTGAGAGAGAGAGAGAGAGAGAGATTTTCGTTAGGGCGACACTTGCCAGGGTTGATTCACTTGTAGCTGAATACCGAGAATTTTTCTTCACACCACATTAATAACTTACGCAGTAGCGTTTTTTCCCATTTAAGACCAAAATAAGACTGTTTATATGCATCAATTTATGAGATTTTTTTCTCCCTGAAAATATTTTTGTGATTTGATACTGTGACTTTTGGTGTTTTGGTGTTTCACATTCTTTGCAGAATCTGGCTCATAATTTTATATCATTTAAACTTTCTTCAAGTTGTTATAATCTCATCTCAAATACCTAGCTACCCCCACCACGCTCCTCCCCCACCATTGATCCTGATTTTAAAATTTCAGATACTCAAATTTACTTCAATCTTTGAAAATAGCGTTATCTCCAAAACCGAGAAACGGTAATCGTTTGTTGAAACGAAGTTTTAGCGTAGCCGAGACGGCGCTTCAAAACATGGCTTTGAAGTTTTTTAAACAGGACCTTTTGCTCTGAAAAACTATTTTTGATGGTCTTGGATTGCTGGTTTTGACTTTTTCAATATTTTTCCTCAAAAAACATGACAAATAAAAAAAAACACCACATGCTACTATTTATGTTTCCTACCATTACTTGATTCTAAATCAGAATGCTCTTCTCGACATGGGCATGGGATGCTTGATTAAGGAAAGCTTTTCGGAAAAAATGTAATAAATGTTTTATTAGGATGACCAAAATGGTTATCAAACAAACCCTAGAGCCCGATAAAGATTGTTAGTTGCCTAAAATGTGTGCGCTTCAAGTCAAAATTAAAAGAGCCAAAATGACATTATATGGCATTTTTTGAAAAGTTTTGATCAAAAAAATGACTTTTCAGTTGTTTTTTTGTCTCGCGCTCGCCCTAAAAAATTATTTAATGTTGGCGCCAAATTCTTTTGCAGATAAATTTCAGTACTGGTCAAGCAAAAATGGATTTCCTAAATTAGACCCAAAAGAGGGAGTCTTTGGAAAATTTTGGCATCTAGAAATGAAGCGGGTTGTAATTTCATTGAGACAGAAACTTAGTGTTCTTTTGTTTTTTTTTCGCGAAAAACCAAATACAGAAAAACAGAAAAAAAAACAGATAGTGTCAGAGTTAATAATCGTATTCAAGCCTTTTCATTCTTGACTTAGAAAGCGAAAAATAATATCGTATAAGGTTAAAATTTCCAGTCTCGGACCAAATCCATGTCTGTGGTTTGAGGTCCGCCACGATCCGTGCTTGTTACATGCAAAGGCGAGGCAACAGTTCTCAGTCGGGAAAAAATTTATAGCGCATATGAGTTTCATAAAAGGTTTCATATGAGTTTCATAAAAGGTCACAGAAGTTGTTCGCATTAATATGCTAAATGGCTTGTCTCATCAGCTAATATATTTTTTCGCTCATATCAAGAAATGACTTTCAACTGTTTCTTTCAGCAGTTGTGTTAGGGCATATGAAAAATCACTCAAAGTGTGTTAATAATGGAGGTTTCTTTTTAAAATCAGCCCTGTTTTTTTTTATAAATGTATACTACAATACTAAAATCAAGTTTCAATATTTCAGGAAAAATTTTGTGTTCTTCTTCCATGTTTTCCCTTGTGTCTTTTTGTCCTCCCCTTTATGCAAAAAATGTAACAATGAAGTTGATTACAGTAACTCTTGCGAATATCCAAAAGGGTTCATATGAATCTAAAACCAATGTCGTAATGTTCAGATTGTTCTGTTTAATCATCTCTTTCTGAAAGCAAGTGTGATGCCATTATCACATTTTAATTTTTATAGGGTCGGTAGGCTCGGTTGAGTCATTATGATCCCACCTTCTGAAAACACGCCGTTTATTCATCACATGGCCAAACTGTTCATCTACGAGACGCACAGAACTGTATGTGCAGGATCGCTGAAACATATTACATTTTTAAAACCCTTTTCGTACAAAAATTTAGTTTTAGTCTGCTTAGGTCTCCAAGCGTTGAGAGTTTTCACTCTCAAAAACTTTATTTTTAAAGTTCTCACGCTGAACTTATATATAGAGTATAATAAATCACATCTTTTGATTTCTTCTAATTAGGTAAACAAAAGAAGTTGAGGTGATGGAAGAAGAATGACGATCAGCCTCCTATGTCTCTAAGAATGAGAAAAGTTCCCGAGTGTACCAAGAAGGCGTGTCATACAGTTCCTTACTATGTAAAAATGCTTATCAAAAATTGCAGACAATTAGTTCCATATAATAAAAAACACTGTATGAAAATCTCATGATAATCATTTTTTCCATACAATGGAATTGTTTGATAAGAATTTTTTCCATTTTATGGAATTGTATGACAAGAAGTTTTCCTTGAAATTTTTTTGTGTGTTGCTTATATTTATGTTTCGCCCTGAACACGAACACCAAACATTTTCTCAAATGAAAAAACCAACAAGTTAAACGGCATTGAATCGCCGATGTAACTCCGTGTTGCTAGATGCCAAGTCAGATCAAAAATTGATTTTAACTCAAAATTATAAAAGTTAATTGTAACTTTTTTATATGACTTGAAGGCCTCTGTTTCGAAAAACTCGGATGTTGGAAATCTTGGCCTGTTTTTTAGTTAGATTTAGTTATATCTCATCATCTAAAACCGATAAGTCAAATTTCTGCCATCACAGGGAACATTAAATGTGATCCTTGATTCTTTTAACTATGAAGACCGTGTTATCAGTCTTAGAAAATTTTGCAGGCAAAAAAATTTTGGAACACGTTTTTTTGTTGTTCATAAAACTGATTTAGCGACTAAAATGAGAACTAAAAAAGTTTTTACTAAAGTTTAAAATTCTTATATGATAAAAAGTTTATCGTACATTTTCCATGTATGGAAATAGTATGATATGCATTTTTTCCGTAGAATCTATGCATAGAAATGAAAGATAAGCTTTTTTGTAAGCAATTTTAAGACTAGAATTTTTGTTGTATGGGTTCAACCCTGGTCACACTTTAATCAATACGATTCGACATGTTTTAGGCTTTTACGTTTTAACTCATTGAAACAACCAATTGTAGTGTTTCTTGAAATGTTTTATACAACAAAAGGCTTGTTGTTTTTTTAAAACAAAATGTCCCCCCTCACGCTGTTTCAAGTACAAAGCTTTATATTTGCACAGCTATTCGCGAAGTATCGATATCCCAAATTGGAGATTTCAGAGTAATACCATATTGAAACATCCACAAAAATTTGAAAAAGATCACATGTGAAGTATTTTTTAATTTTGAGCTCAAAGCATCAGTAGCATTCAGATTGCATAGAAAAATTGGACTAGAAAAACTAGCTGACGAGTCAGAAATTTTTTGGAGAAAAAGGACATTGCAAGCTCAAACAGTCTTCCGCTTTCGCCAAAAAATGGGGAAAAAACGAGCAAAAAGAAGAGCAAAATCAGAGAAACAAATAAACAAACAATTTAACAAACTAACAAACAAGCAAATAACTCATCAAACAAATCAAACAAGCAAACAAAAAATAAACTAACTAACAAACAAAGAAAAAAAAACAATTAAACCAACAAACAAACATTTAATTAAGCATACAAACAAACAAACAAAAATGGGAGACTAAAAGCAAACTGCTCGTCACTTATAAAAACGGAAATTAGACAATGAAAGGGTCTGCAATACAATCATTTAGAGACAAACTGCCACAAGCTTACTAAACGGTTGCTCAAAACAGAAGTTCACATATACAAAAAGACAAAAACACCCAATGCAGATCAAAATACTCTTTGTAAACTATTCATAATTTTTTAACCTGAACATTATAAAACTTCGAAAAAATTGAATTGAGTGGAATTTAGTTGTAGCCGGTAAACAAAATTAAAGAATTTTTGCTTTGTTTTTTAATTTCGTTTTTTTTAATCTTGTCTAATTTGCTTGTTGTCTAATTTTCAAAGGCCAGCTACAAATGAAATCAGCAAAGAAACAAACACTAAAGCAAACAGGCAAGCATAGATAATCTCTTTTTACAAAAGCACGATCAAATACATGGCTATTTTAATGTCAGAAAGACCAAAAAAAAACATTTTAAAGATAGTTAAAATCAATTTTAAAAATAAACGAAGAAAAAAAGCAACGCGACAAGAAATGAAGAAAAGTATCTGTCTTCCTGTGGCCTTAATTATCCTCAATCGAATTCGCAGATTGTTAAGTTTTCACTACTAGGAGTAGTAGGTCTAGAGGTTTGACCTCATTAATTTGAATGTCTTCTCAGCAAATGAAAATTCTTTGATGGCGATATTAGAGCCAATTTATAATTTTTTTCAGGATAAACTTTTTCACGAGGAAATCGTTAATTAAAACTTCGAAACGATTGGGCTTTCTTAGGTCGAATTAACAATTTTTTTGAGCTTTCAGAAAAAATATTTATTCGAGTGAAAAAAAATCAAATCGTTTCAAAATTTTACGTAAAAAGTTTCTATGAAAATCTGTACAAAGCTGATGCTCTGAGATCCAACAAAGGGCAAACAATTTGTCTAAATTTTTAATGCTAACAAAATTACCATTTTGAAATATTTAACATAATTATCGCCCTCGACCGCATCACTAGAAGATTACTCTGATAAACAATTTTTCTAAAATAATCGATGAAAGCTACATTAATTTTTTTTGATGAGAAAAAATTATCAGTTTGGAATAATATATACTTTTGCTTATTCTAAGTTTTTGCTATAAATTTTTTATCTCAAAACCGTTTCAAAACTACTTCAAACTGTAGTCGTAAAGTGTGGGTTTCATATGCGATACGAGCAAGTTGGTTCAATTTCTGTCATTACGAGGCAAAACTTGGGATAGGGGCATAATTTTGTGTATGTATGTTTCTGGATTCCAGTGAAAAGTTTTCAAACAAGTTTCAGAAATCATTCGGACACAAAATTGTGCGCCTATCCACAGTTTGGCCTCGTAATGACAGAAATTGAAACAAGTTTGCTCGTATCAGATATGAAACACCACACTTTAGGCTGCAGTTTGAATGCAATAATTTTGAAGTAGTCTTAGATAGATTTAAAACGATTTTGAGATGGAAATTATCGCAAACATCTAGAATAAGCAAAAAAATATATTAGTTCAAACCGAAAAGTTTTAATAAGTTTAAAGAAAATGAATCAAAAAAAGAAGAAAAAAAGAGCGTCCATGTTGCGGAATCCGCTTACAGTTCATTGCGCAGTTTGGCCTCGTAATGGTTGAATTTGGCATGTTTTTTTAAAACTGATTGCTTCAGTTCTGATTAAAAAAAAACGGCTTTATTTAAACTTTACGTTTGCTTTTTTTATAGCGCAAACAGGAAAAACGTTCGAGGATTGAACTCCACACTGATATTTAAATAAAAAGTTATGAAAAAAGCATATGACTAACTTTCAATTGTGAAGGTCACATTGTGTGATTCTTAACAGTTAGTTCAGATAGTACATTGCATTGCGCGTATGTAGATTGGTCTGCGCGTTGGTTAGTCGGTATGTTAATTAGATTTTCGAGAATTTCAAATGCTAAGTAATTGCTTTAGAATTGACAAAAAAACTGTTCCCAAGTTTTTGATAATGCTGAAAATATATATGACTTCCGAAATTTAATTTTTCTCCAGTAATTGTTTTTCTTCTTTTTTCAAAAATTGAGTTATTGTAAGTTGTTATTCACCCATAGTAATTTATGGAACGAAAAATGCAATTTTAGAAATTTATTTTTTAGTTTTTTCAAATCAAATTTTTGCATAAATATTTCAAAAGAACCACAAAAACAGTTAAAAACAATTTCACTTTGCCTTGATACGAACAAAAATGTTTTTTGTAAGACATAAAACAAATTTCAGACTTATTTGATCATTGATTAAAGATTAAACGTGCTTGTCTGGCCAATTTTCGCTGCTGCCATACTGTTTAATCTATTGCTGTTTGTTTGAAACTTTCTTGTTCAACGCCTGGCGCGAGGCTAAGTTCTGCGTTTTTCATGTTATCTTCTCAATTTTATCAAGCATTTTTAAATTCAAAGTTTACATATTTCAAAAACTCATAACGTTAGTGTCAAAAAGGACGTTAAGTTTTTCCACAGTACGAGACGTTGCTAAGCGATTTCGAAACGTGTATTTCATACTTTATAAATGAGGCTTGGTTGTTGATGTGAAGATTTTTGAAGACTTTTTGAAGATTTTTTACTACCAACGTCTTTGAGGCCGTTCAGAGCACTTCTTGGATGCCCACGAGAATATTGCATTTATTTGATTATTCAGTTTCTATGTCGCGCCAAATATGGTTCTTTGTTAATCATATGTAGCGCCATCATATATGTTTCCATGGTATCCATACGTCGCGCCATGCATGGTACCATAGTAACCATACGTCGCGCCATGCATGATACCATAGTAACCATACATTGCAAGCTTCCATGGTGACATATAAATTTTCAACATCCCTAGTAAAAGTATCAATTTAATTTGAAGTCCCCCATACTTTAAAAAATGTGAAATCATACGTCGCGTCATGCATGGAAAATGTGTTATTTTAACATAAAAATACGTCGGCAATTTTTCATGGCTTCGATGGAACCATGCATGGTGCGACGTATGGTTGCACTTTTTGGTCAACCCGGGATTGCCTCATCGAACGTAACGAGTTAAAAAACGAACCATGAAAAGACCTCCAAAACAGTCTGGAGTTTTTTTTCTTGATTAACCAGAATTAGCGCGCAACAAACTCCTTTTATCAGGGCAAAACGCCGATTGTTCCAACTTTTACTCAAGGAGTTTGAAAAAAACGAAATCATAAATACTGACAAATTATTTTGAAAAAAAAAAGATTTTTTTAAACTTTTGTTCTATTATTCCCCTCTACCAATGAAAGCACAGGGTAAAACATCTGACATTTAAAAAAGCAATGAATGACTAAGTTAGCGGTCTTCGAATCGCTTTGGAAAAATTTCTCAGCGGGGTTCTCTGCTCATGCAAATTTTTCAATTTTTCTTTTGAGATATAATAGTTTTCAAATTTGAGCTCAAAGCATTGGCGTCTTTCGCATGGGAAAATTTTTTAAAACACTTTTCCGCAAACAGTTCCCCGTCAACAGCCACTTTTCAATTTTTTTTTCTACATTTCTTTTAGGTGTTATTATCGCTAAACGCGTGATGATGTCTGAAATATGAACAACGTTTCTTTTCATAAAAATGGCTTTCCTTCCCTGGTACTATTCCATTCTACTGTGACAGCATTGAAATCATTTTTGAAAAGTTGAACTATGAAAATGAAAAATGTCTTTTTTTCTGTCAAAACGGTTTCCTGAAACGCCGAATTTAGTCTGAAAAAATCTGTCCAAGAATTGTTCAGTTACTTAATTCAAAAATTAGAGCAGAAAAATTTTTGTTTTTTGACAAAACTAAACGGGAAATCGAAAAACAGCAATATTTTTTGCAAAAGAAATCCCTTCTTGCATAAAAAGACTAAAAAATTGCTAGTTGTGAATCTTTCTAGTAATAATGCAAATGGAAGATTTTGGATCACAAAATTTTTAAGTGAAGTGTGTGCGCAATCAACTTTTCCAAAAAACAGCATGTGTGTTGTTAGCTTTTGCTAATACCTTGTACTACGAATTGATAAACCACATTTTTTCAATGAAAAGATTATAAAATTGCTAGTTTTGAATCTTACTAAAAATGCTATAGTAAGATGTTGGATTACAAAACCCTAACTGAAGTTTGTGTGCAATAAAATGCTATTCCATAAAACAGCATGTGTGTTGTTAGCTTTTGCTAATACTTTGTACTTTTTTTTTATTTGAGTCAGCTGGGGTCTGACGACAAGCAAAAAAGACGCGACTAACTGAAAGAAACTTGAAGCCTCTGTAAAAATAAAATTAGGAGAAAATCGATGCATATAAAATGCTATCGGAGGAATTGAGTTCTAGAATGCTGGTAAACTAGAATAGAAAAAAGTACTTTCTATTGTAAGAAATGAAACTTTTGCGTAATAATTCAGCTGTTTCCTGATTTTCCAGTCAATTTAAACTCGTTTGACTGAAATTTAACATCCAAATTCAGAGGTTTTTTGGTTTATTGTATTTTAAAAAATTAGGGCACCAATTTAGGAGAGTAACTTGTAACTTGTTTGTTTTTATTGATATCAGAAGCAAAATCAAAAAATTTTCTCGCGATGATTTACTGGTATAAGAGTTTTTGGTCCAAATTTCGAAGGAAGTGAGGATTATATATGCATGTGGTGGTTTTGCTATGCAAACTAATTTGATTAATTTGAGAGCTCGATCCCGATGCCTACGTTGCTCCTCGATCCCGGTGCATACATTGCTTTCCTCACCTTGTATTATTTCCTTCCACTGTGACAGCGTTAAAGTCATTTTTCAAAGTTGAACTATGAAAATCGAGAAGGTCTTTTTTTTCCTTAAACACCGAAATTAGTCTGAAAAGAAAGTCCAAGAGTTTTTCAGTTAGCTTTTTCAAAAATTAGAACAGAAAAATTCTCGTTTTTTGACAAAAGTAAACGCGAAATGTTTGTTTTTATTGATGTCAAAAGCAGAATCAAAAATGTTTTCGTGCGGTGACTTACTGGTATAAAAGTTTTTGCTTCGAACTTCGAAGAAAGTGAGGATTATATGTACTTGTGGTGGTTTTTTATTCAGACTGTTTTGGTCAATTTGGGAGCTCGATCCCGCTGCTCGTGCTCCTGCCGTGCTCACGCACGACTTTGTAATTGTTGCCGGTTGTTTTATTTAAAGCAAGTCTATCTAAGCTGGTCGACTTATACTTTGCTGATCGTTTTATGCTGAAAGTTTATGGCAACGCATTTACGTCTGACGAATTATCTCGCACTACAAAATCTTTCAAATTGAATTGAGGCAAACTAATTGGACTAACTATTTTCATATATGACTCAATATGTAATTTAGTTAACATTTTAATAAACCAAAACTTAAAATATTCATACCATCTTTTACCCTTTTGGTGCTTTTAGGTATTCAAAGTATTTAAGTCAATGTTGAAATTTTGTTTCCAAATCAAACAAGACTGCTCGAATCAGGGCAAAGCCCTGAATGTTTTGACTGCCTTTTAACGTTTATGAAGCAGTAATAACGTTAAAAAAATTCAATGAAATAAAACAAAAGAAATTTTTTTTTCTAAAATATGAAATTTTCTTAATGAAAATCATCCCCCCATACGCCATATAAAGTACAAAAGGATAGATTTTGCTCCTTGTAACAAACCAATCATGGCAAATAAGCTTCTTTTAACCAATTTGGAACAATTTCTAAGACGGATTAACTCTCCGCTGACGCGTTTATAGCGCGAAATATATCGCGCGTTAATTGTCCCAAATAGGCCAAAATGGAAATCTTTAAACCCTCGTAACTTTACGAAAAAAGATCACAAGTGAAATATGTTTTCAAATTTAAACTCAGGACAACAATAGCTTTCGAAAGATAAAAAAAATCCGTCAAAAATGGCTAGTTAAAAAGTCGAAGTTTGTCTGAAGAAAAAACAACCCACCCCGAGCACAAATATTCCGTTACTTTCGTATCGAAAGTCGGAACAATTATTTTGATGGGTCAGCAAAAATCAAAGGATCCGTTTTTAAATGCAGACCGAACAATCACAAATCAAACAAAACAAGACTGCTTGTATATCAGGGCAAAATCCTTGAATGTCCCGATTGTCCCTTTATATTAATATATTGAAAATTTATAAAATTTGGACAATATCAAAGTGTGAATATTTCGCACGAAATTAATACGACCGATAAGCTAACCTCAATTCAAATTTGAACGCTTTTGTTGTGCGGGATAAATTGCCACGTATAGATAAATCGCGTTACGCTCTAAGCAATATGAACGAATTCTTCAAAGCGCGCACAATTTAGTCCAGAACATGGCCAATTTGGAAATTTTCAAATCCCCAGAACTTTACAAAAAATAATTGAAGGTAAAATATCTTTTTAAATTTTAACTCAGGAAGTCAATATCTTTAATAGGGTTTGAAAAACTTTTTTTTGAAAACTATCATTCCGGTCGGAGAAAATTGACTGAATTAAAAAAACCACACCGAGCTTGAATATTCCGTTTTCTTCAAAAACCGGAACAAAAAATTATTGCTGCACACGTTATGCATATCAAAAATGTGTTATGAAATTCCCACTTAACGTTTCGTTTTTCATTTAAATTACTAAATTTATCGGCTGTGATATAAAATTGTCTTTTTTGCATTTGGTAAATTTTTTGTAATTTGGTTAAAAGATGTTGTTACTCACAACTCTTTCTCAAAAGTTGCGTCCAAAATCTCAGTTTTGTAAGAAAAATGAACATCTAATTTCAGTTTTACTATTGGTATCTAATTTATCGTCCCCCGACCCAGCTATCATATTTGTCCCCATGGGTGGCTACATAGTTGAGGCCGGTGGATTGTTTTTTACCAAAAAGAACACGACTCATGAGAACAAAAGAAACTCCCTAATTACATACATGTAATTTTTATTACAGTTTCACCAGGTTTTACAAGGTTGTACATGGAGACGAATCATTTTTTTCGCATGCGTGGAAACAGAAACTGAGCCATTTCTGAACAAATCAGATATGACGTTTTTTCTCGGTATATATTTATTTAATTTTAAAAGTTGAGTAATCCTAAGCATGATGTAATTAACAAATATATTTCAAACTCATAATGTTAACATTTGCCGTATGGGCATTTTTTTTTATCTAGCATGGTTCTTTCTGAATATGAGCATATGTTCTACTTCCGGGGACTCTTGAATCCTTGTACGTATCCTTCTGTTGAGGCTCGGTCTTCTCGCCCTGAAACGAAGCCACAAAAAACGAATGCCAAATTTTCTAGATTGGCGACCTGGTATATTTTCGAGGGGAAAAGGTGCGAAATTTAAAAAAATAATAATGTCTACTTTTTATCTGACTAAATTGGTTTTCCGAGCTCTCCCAAAACATTGACAAGACCCTATTTTGAAAAAATCTGCCGCATTTTTGTGCACTTTTTGAAAGGTTTTGACTAAAACATTGAGTTTTGAAACGATCTCCTCGAAATAAGTATGAATTTTTCCAAAAATAGATGAGTTTCATCCGACTTCCTCCCCATGAAATAAAACTTTAATCAACCCAGCATATCGGAGACCAGCCTATCAGCAGGCGTGTAGATTAGCATGCCAATGTGAAACATGTCTAATGGTGTCTTATTTTTTTTAAACGGTGTCTCAGTTTTCTGAAAACCGTGTCTGTCGATTCTAAAGCGCTGTTTTATTGACTTGCCTTCGATGCCCTTTCCCTTTCCTGTTTCGTCCCTTGTGTGCTCCAGTGTACTTCGATGGATCAGTGAGTCTGTCCACTACTCCAATTGAACACATCTTCACAGATGAGTTCACCTGATACAAGAAAAGTTCAAAAATATATATACGGAAGTAGCCATGAATAATATATTGATTATAGTCTATGTTTTTTCAGCCCTAACTATCCACGTTAAGCTGAAAAGTGTGAAAATCAAGTAAGGACACAACTTTCGTATAATCGTGGATATCCGAGCTGTCGACATAAGATCGAGGCAAGAACACTTTAGGCGAAAATTTGTAGTACATGTTTGTAAAATTAACGACGCATTGAGCTCAAACTTCAATACGTTTCATCCTAAAATTTTCGGTTCAAAAACAGTTTGAGCTCAGTGAGCTATTTTTTTTCTTTTTTTCCCAATTTTTTTCCAATCGCCGATCACCAGCTCTGATATCTGTGGGGATCGGTCACCATGAAAAGAAAACAGATGAAATGATGTGACCTTTGCGACAACATTAGAAAACAGTTTAACTTGTGCAAAAAAATGCGCTTGAATAGAAGTCAAAACTATAAAAAATACTTTTGGGGAGTTGCTGGTGATTGCATCTATGATCTGCTTCTTGTTCTCCTCGCTGTCGTCTCCGTACACAGCCGTAGCGAGTTGAGGAATAGCTGAAATCACACTTTTTCATCAGCCAATTTACGAATAATTTGTAGCCCTCTAGGTACAAGTATGATAGTTGGGTCCCAAAAATTAAGATGAGTCCCTGAACAAACATTTTTAGACATTTAAATATTCGAAAACATGGTTCGAACTTGTTTACTTGTGTTTTTTTTGAAGTTTTTGCAAAAAAATGCGGGACATATCTTTCATACTGGCTTTTTCCTGGGACCCGATTCTTTTTTGTAGACCAACTGATTCATTTTTCTGAACCTGCTCGATTTTCTGCACATACAAAAACGCACCTTTTTATTGGGTCTACAAGAGGGGTTTTGAGGGTATTGACCAGAGGGTAATGATTTGCCAAGAGATTCAATCTCAACGCTTTTAAAATCCACAACAGCCTGACCTTTCAGACAAACTCATTATTTTAAAATGAAGCTGAATGAACAGCAGAGCGGAATGGTTCAAACAGCAGATAAGTAAAAGAATATGTGAGAAATAAACTAAGTAAGATTTTGGCGGCGGTGTCGAAAGGTCAGTGGAAAGGCCTAGCTCTGAGTCGAAAGGCCGGTTCATCGAGACACACAGTGATCTGTGCTCGTTGCTTGAGAGTAGCACCAAATTTCCCAACCGAGAAAAATAACCACAAAAATTGCGTCTAGTTCTTAATCAAGGACACACAGCGATTCTCCGTAGAAGTTTTTTTTATCGTCACGTGTGTTAGTTTTTTCATGTGAACAAGTGGTCTTCAACGCATTTAACGTACAAGTTCTGGCCTGCACACTGTGCCATTTTACAAAAGGAGTCTTTTAAAACAGTTCATCTTTAAAAACTACTTTAGGTGATTGACTTGATTTATGGAAGCTCTTCAGATAGAGTTTAAAATGGATTTGAATTCCTTGAAAGATAAATGAGGGCGAAATTTTAAATCTAATCTCACCACTGAAAACAGCAATAATGTTTCATTTTTAAAAGCATTTTAAAGGAAGCAAAGCTTTAAAATTTTCGTTGAAGCACTCCTTTCCTTGAATGGCTTTTCGACCTTCAACAATGCGCTCTAAAGATACGTCTTTTCGGCTGCTCATAGTTAATTGGAGTGAAATCCCCCCCCCAAAAAAAAATATACAATAATGGCATCTTTAGCAGAAATGTTTTTAAAAATTTCAGGCTGGTTTTTGTTTCCTGCAAATGACTCAACTATTTGTAAATTACTTAACTGCCTTTGTTTGAGAAAAATTTTATGGTATAGTTTTGGAAAGTAGCATTCTTAACCGTCATTTTTGGTTGATACTGCAATCGGTTTGCCAAAATGGGAATTGTTAACCGGTATAATAATTGCACTTAATCAAGGTTCAAGGACAAACTTCGGTAAAAATCACAAATTCTGAAGTGATTTCTCTTCCTAATCATTAGCCCCGCCCCTATCCTCAAGTTGCTCAGATGTTGCAAATTAAGTCAAATTGGAGTAAAACAGCTCTCGTCCTCTTTAACTATAATGTCCTGTTTCAAAGCTAAATGGTTCCATAAAGAGAGCATTTTTAAATCCCAATTTTTTGTTCTCCCACCCATGGCCTGTAAAAATTTTCAATCTCTTTCATCTAGGGCGGCATTGTAAAGTTTTCACAATAAATTTTTTTTTCTGTTCACGATTTCCTGCCAATCTAATAAAAATGAAAATGGGCAATTATACCTCACTGCTTACAACATGCCAACAAATCCTTTTTTTATGAAAAAGAGGGTTTTTATCCTATTGCTCTATATTCATGCTAAGAGTATCAAAATTATGAATTTGATGAAATCCCATTGAAAAGGCTACTGGATGTTGTGAGCCTTGAGTATTGACAGACAATGATACTTGCTGAGACGCTGTTCTCTCAGGTAATAGAATCAGTAGCGGATTTAGGGGAGGGGAAGAAAGCGGACGCCCTCCCCCCCCCCCCCCCCCCCCCCCCCCCAGGGATTCCACCCCCTGCCGACCCAACGGGTCCCCACTTTGTACCATTTTGAGATATCCATTTTTGGTGACGGACCCTAAAAAATTTCTAAAGGCGCCATTATATTCTAATTTTGAGGGGGAAGCGCGCGCCAAAAAACGCATTTTTTGGTCAAAATTTCCAAAAAGTGCCTATAAACACCTTTTTTGGCCTTTTTTTTCGAAATTTGGCTGCGGCAGTTTGGTCAAATTAGGGTCTGTATAGTGATTTGGTAAAAAAAAGATCGACAAAAGGTTGACAAAAAAGATCGACAAAAGCTCGGAAAACTATTTTTGCCCAACAAAACTGAGCAGCGTATGAGCACCCAGGAGCGAGCCGCGGTAAGGAGCAGGAGCAAAGGCGAAAAATTAGAACAATTTTGTAAAACAAATTCTTTTTTTTTTGGTTTCGATAAAACTCAAAAGTTGTAATGGCTGACGTAGAAAAAGATGGACAAGTTTTTCAAAAATAACTATCCGCGCATCAAAAGTCCCACTAATCCAACCCATGAAACGCTGAACAATCGACTCTGAACTGATTGAACGTCCGAAGCTTCTGATCACATATAAAAGAAAATGTTTTTACCAAACAGATTGATATACTTGTAGTTAATACTAAGATAGCAGTAAGGATCGGGGAAAAAGAAAATAAGACTGCTGGTATCAGGGCGAAGCTCTGAATTGTCCGACTGCTTTTAAGGTATAACGAGTAGTTTTCAATTATTAAATTGACAAAGGTTCAAATTTTTTCTGAGATTTTTTTTCAAAAATCATCCCTCCATACACTATGTAAAAATGATACTGCGCTGATTTGAATTATCTGGACAAAACGAAACTTCAAACGAGTTTTTTTTTCAAAATGGATTGAGATTAGACAAAATTGATCAGAACTAAAGCTACCTAGTGTTCTATCAGAACTATTATGGTGCAATTCATTTTGCGAATTTCGTGCCCAAAATTTTGTGAGGTGAAAACTAGTCGCGACGATCGGGACAACTGACAGAAATCACTCCAGCATTTCAGACCTCAGAGATTGTGGAGATTTTGAGAAAGCTTCAATTAACGCTATTAAGTTTGTAGTCAATGGAATAATATAAAAGGTTGCTTCTTCCATTTTGCTCAAGCCAATTGGCGCAAAACTCAGGAGATTGGATAAGCACCAGTTTATCGTGAAACTAAAAAAGACGCATGCTTCTAAATTCATTTGCTGCACTGGCACTAATACCTCAGCTCGACTTTGAAATCGGCTTGGTTGCTTTATGCTGTGAGTTTTTCGACAATTCACAAATTCAATCTGGAATAAGTTCAAAAACGTCAAAAATGGAAGACAGAAAACCAACATTTTGGACGAGTGATAGCATAGGGCCTCTCAGATAAGGACCGTGTGCTATCTCTATTATTCACAATTGATCCAATGCCTGAGAAAAAAAACACAGTCTGTGGAGAATAAATTGATAAGAATAATTGCCGGAGAAAGCGCCGCTGAGGTTAGAGAATACGAAAAAAGGTCATGCCAGATTAGTTGAACTTCTGGAAAATTATAGCAAAAAAAGCATTCTCAAGTAACGTGATGGTCTTTTGTTCAATTTTGATGTTTAATTTGTTTGTTCTTAACTTTAACCATTTCATCTAATTTCTTTTGATCTGATCAAAGCTCTAACGACTTAAAGTTGTCGCTTGCTACTCGTCGTGGCGTGCTGCTAATAGTCATTTCTTATAAAAGCTACGACTGGTCGCTTGCGACGAATTGTTGCTGCCACTAAATGTCGCCAAGCTTAAAATATTACCCCAAAAATGAGTCTTTTTGTCTTTTTTAATCAATGAAAATTTATGCCAAATATACTGAGCCAATAGATATGAAAACAATATCAAAGTGAGCCTCTCATACAGCCCAATAAAAAATATGTTATCCAAAAAATTGCGTAGAACTTTTTTTTCGGGCAATGAATTGAATTTTTATATAGCAAGCTATCAAACAAAAATTTAATCAATTATGCCAATTTTTGGAGGTTATATTTGTTTAAAATTTTGTTGGGTTGCATCGTTTTATATCTTATCTCAATCCAATTTGAGAAAAACGCAATTAAAATGGCTAGTTTTGTTCATTTTTTTCGGAAAATTAATTCAGCGCTGTTTATTTCGCATGTGGCAAAGTATCAAATAAATTGAAGAGCATGCCTCAGTTCAATTATGACCGATTTCTAACACAGAATAAATATTTGCCCACGCGTTAATAGGACAAAAATATTATGCAATAATTGTCTCAAATTTACTTAATTGGCAATTTTTAAACCCCAACAAGTCTGCTCGTATATCATGGTAAAGCCCTGAATGTTCCGACTGCACTTCAAACCAATTGGAAAACTTTTTTTTGGTTGAATAATTGACAAAATAATTGAGAAAAAAAGAATTTATTTTTCATTTATTCTTCACTTTATTGTCACAACACGCTATGTAAAATATACGGGTGTGTTTAGCGTCTCGTGTTGTGATAATAGGATTAAGCTGCTGACCTCAACTCGCTTTGGAACGCATTATCTCGCTTCGTACGCGTGTTATAATACGCAATATATCGTACTTTAATTATCCCAAATTGGCCAAATAAGCAATTTTTAAACGCCCGTAACTTTACGAAAAATGATCAGAGCTAAATAGTGTTTTTGAATTTGAGTTTAGAATAAAAATATTTCTCGGATGGTATAAAAAATTCTGTCAAAAAAGTTTGTTATCAAGTCAAAAATTGACTGAATAAAAAAACACACCAAAGTCGGAACAATAATTTCGCAAAAATTGATTACATGTGAAAGTTTTTTTTATAAATTTGAGCTATGAAACAACAATTTTTTTTAAATGATACAAAAAAACTCTGTAAAACAATGGGTAGTTAAAAAGTCTGGAGAAAAAACCACCTCGAGCACAAACATTCCCTCACTTACTTCAAAAGTCGGAACAATTAATCCCGTGAAATGAAATGATATTTCAGTTGAGTTGATTTGGTTGAGCTATGTAAAGATAAAATGTGTACCTTTGTCTTTAAAACTATCGAACAGAATATTCCGACATGGCATGGGTCCCTTGCATCTGGTGAATATCATGTCCACCTCAGCCCCATCTAGCTTTCCTTTCTTGAACAGGCCGCATTCTTGCACTAGTTTCTTGAAGTTCTTCGATTCCATTTCGTTTTTCTGCTTGTTCGCTCCCGCCCCGAAGTTCGAAAACGCCAGAAAAGCTGACTTCAACTGAAAAAAGGAAAATCAAACACACGTTTCTGACGGTTTGAAAATCACAATGGTCCGTTGGTTGGTGAGGGGATCCAAAAGTCGTCGTGCCCCCATCTCCTCCCGCTCCCCAAATCCGCCCCCTTGATCAAACTCAATCACTGTTTGATTAACTGACAACTTATAACCAACCATTTTTAATCTCAGTTTTACTGAGAGCGACTTCCTACATTTTTAAAACCTACAATGACTGCTTGTCAGTGTTTCTCTCTAGACTAAAGTAAATTAAAGCTACGGGATACTCACAGTGAAATATATTTTGCAAGCTATTGGAATAAATAACTCATTATAAAATCGTTTTTGTTAATCGATTAACTTTCGAAGAAAATGATTGAAAGTTTATGTTTTGTTTATTTTGTCTCATATGATTTTGTTTTATTCAGACCAACTTTTTTGAGTAACTGTTTGGCCCCTGTTTTGTATAATCTGAGGAATATCGACACTTTGAGCTCAATTTTCAAGCTAAATTTTTTTGTGAAGCTTTTGTGAAAAATGTCCGTTTGACTATTTTGGGATCATTAAACAACGAGCGCACTGAAATCTCTAAGATAATCAGACTTACAAGTCCTTAAAAATCAATTTGAGGCGAGCTAATTTTGTTTGCACGATTCAAATTTGCAAGATTCAAATTTTGCGTTACTATATGCAAAACATATGACTTCCTAGTTTAGATTGAATTGAAGAGAAGATTAATAACAGAAAAAGTTTTCTTTATTTTTTGACAATGTTATCAAAAATTTTTAATAAACATATAAGCGAGGCCTCGCCCTGGTACAAGCAACCCAATTTCGTTTATAAAAACAAGAGTTTAAGAAAAATAAAAAAACTGAGTTTTCAAATTTAATTTGAACACTAGAATCAACAAAATATTTTTCCATGTTGGTTAAAATTTCATCGAAGTGGAGGTACTACAATGACAGTGGTTGAGGTAGTTCATTGAATCAGAATATTTTCTTTCTGTTATTATTACATTTTTGTGTTTTTGATGAATGCTTAAATCGTCGAAAGTGAAAAAAAAACATTGTCCAGAATAACCAGACTAGCCGGTTGTTAGGCAGGAACCTCAAAATGCAGAAATTTGGCTCCTATAAAGTTTGCAGAATTTCAATATCAACATGCAAATGTAAATGAAAAATTGTTTAAAAATTTCTATAAAATTTTCTCGAAAGTCCTGTTGCTTTTTTGGGAGGATAAAGTGGATCCAAATTAAGCTCCCATTTAGCTAATAGTAGCTTAGTCTGAGTAGACCTAAATCTTGGATTATTTTAAAAATCTTCCTTTTTATGAAGTCTGTATTTGCTGAGAATCAGCATGAGAAAATAAAAAAATCAGATCGAGTTTTCTCGATTTTGACGAAATATTTTTTGTTTATTCTTTGTGAAAAGCAACAAGAGTTTTTTCATATTCTTCCTACTATAATTTAGAAATTATTTTTGCAAACCGTTGTTTAAATTTGTTTTCAACCGTTCACTTGCTCTGTTTTATTAACATTATTGTATTGAACTTTTTGGGAAATCTAATGGTAAAAAAGTGCTCTATTCTCGTAGCATTCTTGAATTTATAGCGTTCACGTATTTGATAGGTTTCCATAAATTCACGGATTGTGAATACAATAAAACACAGACATACGAAAAAAGACAAAAAAAATTTTTGGATCATTATACAGGGTGTTCCAAAACCTATGAGACTTTTAAAAAGGCTGTCATATTCGACAGAAATGACGTTTGAGTCAGATTTGTTGCAGGGTCATAGATGAGATTTGGAATTTTAAGAATCCGTGAACAATTAACAATTTGGAGAAACACAAAAATCTTTTGCTCCTTTTTCTTGATTTTCAATCATGCTTCATTTCAATGTCGTTCATATTATCAAAGAAATTAAATTCAGTGATGAACAGCGCAAATTCATTATCTTCCATTTTGCAAAAGGATTGTCAGAAATTGCTATCAAGCGAAAAAATTCTTGAGACATATGGTTGTGCTGCAATTCATCGCAAAAACCCCCGGACCACTGCCGAACTGACCACAAGCATTGAAAATCTCTGTAGTGGGATCACACAGGATCAGATTTCAGCTGCTACAGCCTCAATTCACAAGCGAATGATCAAATATAATGAAAATGGCGTGAAACATTTTCAACATTTCTTGAAATGAAAAATTTCTACCTTAATAAAACTTCCACATCTCGTCTAAAACGTGATAAATTTCCATGTGTCCACGTCAATTCCGTTAGAAATGACAGCCGTTTCAAAAGTCTCTTGGTTTCGGAACACCCTGTAGTGTTGTATAAAATAAAAGTTAGGGCATACTGTAAAACTTTACAAGACAAACGCTTTAAATTGGATTGTGGAAATAATTTTCCTTGTAAAAAAAAGTTTCTACTAAATCCAGATATTCTTCTAATAATTTTTAAAATAAGTTTCTGCTTATTTTGCTGGCTCTAAATATTTGTATTCAAAACCGGGTCGAGGAGCTCACTTTAAATTTCGACATTCAACGTTGAGCACATCTCAGTGCTAGACCGTAAAAAAGAGTGGAGGCAGCGGTTTGGG